ATAACCGTGTTAATGTTTCGACCTCAGCTAGTATTTCAACCTTAGCTATTTTTTTAATATTTCAACGTGCTGGTTTTGATATACCTGTGGATGTTGGTACACTAACTCGGGAAGTAACCACATCATACAAATACGACCGCCTAGTGCGTTTCTAGTGGGGATAAACACCCGGCGGCAAACATTTCGATAGAATAATCCGCACAATAATGAACAAAAAGAGCTTTGGCTTATTTGGAACATAAATTTGAAAGAGCTACTCAGAAAGTGTGGAGTACGTACACACAAAAAAACGAACAAATCTTCGAAATACCACGTATAAACACACACCACAACCGGCCATTTCCTTCCTTTATTAGCATCATTCGTTGATCAATAATTGTTTCGAGTGAAGTCATTATAAAAAACTTATACGCGTCTTTTCGTAACAGTACATGAACAATTATATCAATATTTTCGATGCACTGATCAAACAACCCATCCATCTCACAGAGCAATAATGACCTTATTCTCACACAAAAACATCCATCCAGTTTATATTCTCACACAACCAGCATATTTCCATGTGGAGAACCACATTTGGCATGCATGGCACTTATCGACTCTACACCATTTAATTTCCGATGCCGGAGCAATTCCAACGACTAGGCGTGTTGCTCATGCCTGAAGACGAATTCAGGCTTACGAAAACGAATAGATAAAGTTTCGCTAGGGCTTGTTAGACGCATTCCAAGTGGTGTCCCGAAAAGCAGACAGCCTTTGTTAATCGTCCCTCAACCGACTTTGTAAATTTTTGGCGAAGCTGCCGCACAACAGTTACCGATACGTTAAAAAGATTTGTGAAGATGCAACGAAACGATCCGCCTAATGAAACCTGATTGACATCTGGTCATTTTAAGAATTACCAATTGGCAAGACTCTAAGACCAGCAAATCCATGACTGAATTAAGAAATATTATCCAATCAAGGAATAAGCAAACGATCACCTTGATCAGCTTGATTCTTAAGTATTACAGCGCTGACCATGAGCACAACATGCTCGTCAGATGTTTCAATCTCTCGGTCTCGTTTTCCGCGAGCAACCGTCCTGTTGAACGATGGTGTACGTCTTCCCAACTAAACAAATGATATGCATTTTAACGGTTCCAGCTTTGGATAATGTGTAATTAACATTTGCAATCCAATGTTTGATAAGGAAAGCGACATTTAAGCGCATAATTTCACTCAAAATACAGCGACATGAAAATCTAGACAAACACGTTCCTGTGCCATACTCAAGAAGTATACACCTTACATACAAGAAAGGGATGTGTTTGTTGTGGAAAACAGTCGTGGAAATGCTGATTGTGATCATCATCAGGAAGATTTTTTTGCCAGCAGACCATCTTGACTCATTTCTTAGCATTTTCGAGTCATGTAAGGCAATCATGTGGACGAGGTCATATTTTTTAAATACTTCGTAACATTATCATAATGATGAACATTATGTTACTACTGTTGCTGTTACGGCCAGCATTTTTTTTGTTGTTAAGTGTTGATACATCAACTTACGCTTACCTCACTTTATTATTTGGCAATAGCACTCTTTTGACACATCGAACGTTATTATTCTCTGGCGGAACGCACCTTCAAAAGCTGCTATAACGTTCTCTCCGTCTTTTTTTTCTAAAAGGTATTGTTGTCGTTGGAAGTCGTCTTAATTGATGGTTATTTTATTATGATGATAGCTATTTGGCTTTAAGATTGCCATATTTTTCGGGTGGTTTCTAGCGTTAATGAAAGTGTTAGATTTTCGGACGGTCGTGAATGAATGTTCTTACATTTAGTGTTTTTGTCGCATCTTCGATTCAAGGATTCGTGATTTGAGATACAGAAATGGCGAACTCATCTCAAGTTCCCGTCTCAGCATTGATTAATAAAGGAGCTGGTTTAAGCGATGTGCAAGAAGGACGTAAAACAAAAGATGAATATCGCAAACAAAAGGTTATCATTCTATTTGCTGATTTATGTATGGTATGGTAACTGTTAATGCCGTTAATTGTTTATGATACGGCTCAGGATTTCATTTACGAAAACAATAACATTTATAATATACTATGTGCATTGTTTAGAAATAGATGCTTTTGGTGGATACACAAAATATTCTTTGAATCTGGTAATTTGATGGAAAAACTCCGTAATTTGTTCTCAGAAGAAAGAAAGCATTTAATGCGCAAATAAAGGAACAGTTTGTCTACTGAAAATAAATGTGTAGGATTTGGAAGAGGAGCGTAAACTGGGCATTGCCCCAGCAATGGTCGACATTGAAACGGGACGTGATATCAATCCGCATATTCCTGAATTCATAGCTAAAAATCCTTGGTATGTACCGTCTGGTGGACCGACGCTTAAGGTTACTATGGCTTTTTTCATCGTCTTTGCACGTATTTATTGTTATTATCTTCAAGTTTTATGCAACAGTTCTATGCATGCATTAAAGAGTAAAAGTAATGATCTGACCAAAAAATGCCAATGCTTTCAATTTTAGCATCAAAGACCACATGAGGAGAGACAAATAAGATTCTCAAC